TTTTTCTTGAAACAACAACAACAACTACTTCTTGCACCACTGGTAAGATATCTTTTCTAGACTGCTTGGTCACTCACGACAACCACAGACTATGAACAATATTATTTACAGAAAACCAACACATACAGACCGATTACTAGACCAGTCACATTGTACAACCTCGACCTCTCACAAGGCTACAACTATACCAACTTTGACGAGATGAGCACAAATTTATAGATTGCAATTCATCTACAGACGAGACTGACTACCTAAACAACATTTTTAGTAGGAACAACTACAACTCGATTTTGTTAGACGGACCACTCACAGTAACACTGATTCCAACACTGAGACCAATGTCAACTCTGGCTCTGTTGCAACAGTAACTATACCATACATCAGAGGAACCTCAAACACTATCACATATATACTACAACCTTGCAATATACGTGTTGCACCCAAACCGATAACCCCTTTATGACGACTACTTACTAATGTCAAAGACAAGGACAACCAGAGGACAGTCACAGGGAGCAGTATACAAGATCAAATGTTGCGACTGCCAGACTACTTACATTGGTGAAACCGGCAGAAACAACAAACACAAATGAGCGATGAGAAATGGTGACATCAACAGTCACATTGCTGAATACCATTTACAGATAAAACATCAAATCGACTGGGACTCTGTGACATGTATTATGTATTCTATACAGACTACTATCAATGACTTACTTTAGAAAGCTGGTTTACTAACTTAGAACAAACACCACTAAATCGTACCCAACAATTACTGGCACTGTACAAATGACTTATTGATGAAATCAAGCAAAACTAACTATGAGAGAACAACTAGAGAACTGACAATTTGACTAACAATAGACAACTGTTTAACTGTGACAAGAGACGGATCGAAACACACCAATATTACATTACGAGTCTTCATAGCCTATAACATCATGGCTAAACTGACAGACGACCAATAACATCACAACCTAAAATTGGTCAATAACCAGAGTATAATACCATCAACTGATGTGATAAAACCCATTTTGACTCTGAAGATGACTACTGCACAGGTTGTTGAATTGTCAGTCACTGTCAACAACAACAGTCCTATACAGGACTACAGTCACTTGGACGATCATACTTATTTTTGTATAATATACTATTGTAATATAGCCTACTATTGTATAATTATTATTTGTAACAATGTAACATCACTATTATTATTGCATTGTCATTTCATTTATTCCTAATTAGTTTACAGCTTGCAGCTGCACAGCTCATAAAATCACAGAATCCTCACCCTTGTATTGGTCAAAGATATAAACATACTATAAAACCTACTTTCAGAAAAGTTGTCAAAGAGTGGGTTAGAGGGTTCCTTGTTTAAAGGTGAGTGGATATTTAACATTTTTAAACAAAAAGGGAAAGCTAAATCAAATAAAGGGGGTTCATCTATTTCGTGCAGTTACTGTGTTAGGGTTGGAATGAAAGCAACAAGTTTTTAGCTACATCAAAGATAAACATCTTAAAAGGGCCAAGGCAAATGTACCTGGGAAAAATTTCTAGTAAAACTAATAATAATGATAATTATTTATTATAAAACTAATCATGATAATAACATTGCAAACAGAGACCTTTGTCTGGGCAATATGTCATGTCCAAGCACAAGGTTTCTCTTACGCTCAATGAAACAATCTTCAGGCAGGTTAATGGACCTTCCATATGACAGACACATCACTATGGATCATTTTTTGTAGTTCATTATAGGTAATTTGTAACCTATTGTTGGTCACTCCTTGGTAAGTATATACCTAACAGACAACCCTCAAAATTGAATGCCATTAAGTAGCCCCCCACCACCATGAGGTTTTACACAGATATGATTTGCAGGGGCGGATCTGGAATTTTTTAATCTTTTTTTTTTTTTTCATTATAGGTTATTTGTAACCTATTGTTGGGCACTCCTTTGTAAGTATATACCTAACAGACCACCCTTAAAATTTAATGCCATTAAGGAGGCCCCCCCCCCCATGGGGTTTTACACAGATATGATTTGGAGGGGGGGATCTGGAATTTTTTAATTTTTTTTTTTGGGGGGGGGGGGGGCAAACTTTGATTCAGAAGAGACTGTTGAACTTTTTGTGGCAAACTATTCCTCACAGAGACAACCATGTGTTTCTAAATCTGTGAAAGCCGTCCACCGTTGGTGCAGGAAATACTGCCTTCAGAGCAGAGGCAACAAATGTGACCTTCTTTGGGAAAACATACACTAATGATTTTCTGTTATTGTTAGAAAATATTGTTAGAATAGCTAACAGTGGCTAACGGCTTTTCTAACATTCTAACAGTTGGTCCAAATGCTCTAACAATTTGTCCTAACGCTCTGACAATTTGTTCTGTGGCTCTAACAATTAATATTTTGTTCTACCGGTCTAATGATTTGCCCAAACACTCTAACAATTTGTTCAAACAATCTAAAGGTTGAATTGGTCAAAGCAATTGAATGCTTTACCCTATTAATTAAACACTCTAACAGCTGGTTAGTTCATCTTTTTTTTCTCAGTCTATTGAGCGAAAGTTTTAAGCAAAGCTGTTGATCAATAAACGGCTGAAATTACCAGTGATCTGTTCAACAAGTAAATAATCGAAATCAACTTGCTCTCAAAATGACCGCACTTCACAACCGGCTGTCCAGTTTCTCTTGTAATGAACCTTCTAATGCATCGTATCAACAATAACTACTGTTTGGAAACAAGTATCTCGATTTTTCCAAAAACTATATCAAGTAAGCCCCTTGAGTCTGATGAAAATTTTTTAAACAAGATACATACCGCTTACATAAACAACTTTATGCAAACTTTGGTTGAAATTTGACCCGCAGGAATTTGAATACGCGGTGAAGCATTGTGTGATGGACAACACATGAATAAAAGTTGTGTTGAATGATTGTAGACTTTTTCAGTTACTAGAGAGCCTCAGCTATTAAGGATTATAAATCAAATTTAAAAAATTTAAAATACCAATCCTTTCGTAGCCCATACCTCTGTTCACTGTCTAAAGAAAGCAACTGGTTAATCTTTTTTATTATCGATGTTGTTCTAAAACGATAACAATCAGTGTCCTCTAAAGAGAAAAAAAATACAGACGTTGCAAATAAATCCTAAAAATGCTTACAAAGTTCTTTTTGTGCTATTCTTCCTTAGTTGGCCCTTTTAGCATAATTGATAGCACAACATCTATCATTTATCTTAGCTTTGATTTGTTTCCACAGTTTATCTCTTTCCATAGCACATTCAACTGGAAATTTACTGAAAACAAAAACTTTCAAAGAATTCAGCTTGCTGCTATCTAGCGGATGTTTACCGTGGGTCCCATAAGTATTGATTCCTTTGAGTTCTTCATCACTAAAGAAGTGTGAGAGCAGCTTTACTGCACATCTATGCCTCTCCTTTTATTTCTGTAATGTTGCATGTATGCTTTGCACTTTTCTTGGCATGGTGCAAGTCCAAATTACATCTTCTCCTACCAGGATTTCAGGTCTTCCCATGACACTGTCAGCGTTTACGGGTGGTGATGGTGTCTCTGGTGTACCAGGGCCGCTTAGGCGTCAACTTCGTTGTGATGTAAAGTTGCCATGGTCTCCCTGTCGATCGTCAGAAGATCTTGATTCTACAATAGGCTGGAAGAGTTGTAGATCTCTTCACTCCTGAACTATAGGAAAAAGAAAAAGAATCGTAACTATTGTATTCCCTGTTTCCAAAGCCCAGTTATTGGAACTGAACTGTATTCAAAAGGACAAAAGAATAAAAATGCTTACATGATACGTTAGTTTGAAATAGGCATTTCTGAGAGCCCAAACTTATCATGTGCTAAATTCAATGTTTCAGGCCTGGCTTCTAGCCTAACAGTAACTCTTTCTCAGCTGCAATTTGACCTACGCCGAGCGTAGTGAATAATTTTGCTACATTTTTAAAAAGTGTGCACTAAAGGAAGCAGCCACAATGTGGCTTAAGCCACCGAGTTCAAAGTTATTTTTAATGTTTGCCTTATTATTCAACTTACCACAGTCTCTAAAGATTCTAGCCAGTGTTCAATCCATGACAATCTGTCTGCACCCCAAGGTCTCCCCCAATGAGACCAGAGAATCTTCTAATATGTCCATCTTTTTAAGTCAAAATAAATAAATGAATAAATAAAGGCACAGCACACTTCCAGCAATGATACAAACTGGATTTAATACTGTTGTTTAAATTATGCCTTTCTTTCCTTTGATTTTCAATCTTACAAAGTGGACAGCAAAGTATCAATAATGTCAGGGAAATTCAAATTGCCCCATTCTGCCAAAAAAACTGTCCCAAGTCTTCGCTCTTCAAGCAGAAACAATGAGAGAAGCACAACAAAAAACACGTCTACAAAAACTAAAAAAGAAGACTGAAAGAAAGAGCTTTTTGAGGGGGTGTGTTGGTATTATTTGGTAGCCACTGCAACCTGATTCTTGATGGAGAATAAAGAAACTACATTGCCTTGTGCTTACCTTTAAGAATTGCTCGTAATCATGGATCTGATTCTTTAGAAGATCATGCCCTCTTGTTTGTGCCTCAAGCTGCTTTTTAATCAGGCTGACATTGTCTGGAGAATCAATTTTTTCATGATGACGTCGTGGGAAGAGTCAGGAAGATTCAGTTTCTTGGTTGCCCTTTTATGTTTAGCTGCCAGGTCTTCTTCCCTCTTTTTTTGTTCCTTTAAGAATTCTTTGTATCGGTCTCCTGCGACGTGATCTTTCTAAAGAACAAAATAAAAAATGGAGTATCAGTTTCAGTTACAGCGATTTAAAAATGATCATAACAAAATTTTGCAAACGTTTTAGTTAATGTGTACATGTAAGACGTTCACGTAGTTAATAGAAGTGAAAAACAAAAGTTCCCTGCACTAAAACGTACTTTAAATATCTACAAATTGTAGGCGTTTGGGAACTTAGTTCTAGACGCTCAGACCAACTGACTTCAGATGTTTAAAACTAAATGCTTCCATATTTGCCAAACCACTGCTGTTCAAATTTGCTGGACAAATGAAGTTATTTTAAAACAGAATCAATATATTATACTTCTTTTGAGTGAGGGTGTAAATGTAGCCTGCATTACAGACACCCTAAACCTTCTGTGGGCCGGGCCTGTATAAATGCACATGGATGAATCCTCTTTTATAAGCCAAACCTTCATAACTACAAGTTGTTAAAAATAGTTACTACAAAATTACCTGTGCAGATAATGGCGTTGCGGAGTTATCATTGGTCTTTGTTGACGCATTAGAGTTAGTTTTCTCCTGAAAGAAAGCAATCCAAAGTTTTTCAGTTTACAAAACTTAATGGTTATAAAATTTTCAAGTTAAGTAAAATCAGCCAAGCGGCTCGGCTTACCATAATCCACTACATGCAACTATCACGCGAAAATGGAAAAAGTGAAATAAGAGATGATTCCAATTCATTAACAAAGTGTGAAAACACTTCTTTACTTGGAATGCAATCATTGACTGAAAACAGCTTTAACGAACTGCGCTAATGACAGAAAAACAACATTCAAGGAAGACCATGATCCAAGCAAAATACTTAAAATCAAACTTCAAATTTTTGAAATGAAGAGTTACAATACTTACCTCCTCCTTACTCAAATCCACCACTTCAGCTGTCGTGGTAGATGGTGGCTTTGTGGTGTCCTTCGTCTTTGCCACCTTCTCCTTGGCATTGCTTTTCTCCTGAAATAAAACCGAATTTAGCTCAGTACGTGACTAAGGCTAAAAGGCAGTGCCAAGTTAATGCTTTAATATTTGAATCGGACTACTAAATTTTAGCACGATCTTCAGTTAGCATTAGTAATTACTAAATAGTAATGTCACTAAATAGAACGTCATAATCACATAACCAAACAAAACCGGAGTAATATTGATGATACAGATTAACCAAACCTACCAATCGTGATCTCTTCTTTGGATGTTTGTTTGGTGCACTGATGGAATCAACTTGAGAAGTCTCTTCAAGATTCTTTTTTGACCAAAACAGATGCTTCTCATTTAGTTCATCAGTGCTTTCTACAACAAGAAAAGAACAAAAACATGGTAAGTCAAGATATCTGGTAGAAGGGCAAACCTTGCAACAGAAAAACACAGTTAACAGTTAATTACTTTACTTACCACTTAAGGCGATGATTTCAGCTTCCACTCCTTCCCCTTGCCAGTTAACAGTCTCTCCAATAACAACATTATTTTTTGCAAGATAATTTTTGCAGGGCCAATTCCAGTCACATTTTCTTCAGGAAAGAAGAAGAGAGCTTTTGACGGTAAGTTTGCCTCGCGCAACAATTTTCGGAGAGCCACTGTAATCTAGCACATAAACAGAAATGAAATTCCATCTTACTGGTGAGACCTTTATTCCATTTGTGTGGATTGCTATTGTAAGCAAAGGAACAAAAATTACCGAAATGCATTGGCTACTGCGCTTCCTTTGTTGACAGTGAATTATACTCCCAGGTACTTCATTGGTTGTGTTACGTGTTGGTTATTTTCTTTAATTTATGGTTGGTGGGTTTCAATCCAACACATTGTTGTCATTATTTGAGGATGAAAATTCTTCCTTCAGCCGTCTGTTTTGATACCGATCGACTGTCCTGTTGTTGGGCCAGAGCCATCCATGCTAAATTTGCTAGCCTTTTCTAAAAAAAATGCCGAATGGTCAAAGGAGTTCGACTGAGCTCTGTATTATTTTGAAAGGCTTTTATTAAGTTTGATTGTTTCGTTAGTCGGAGTATTACAACAAGAGAGTTTAATTTTGTTTGATTACCCAACTTAATCAAATGGTTTTGAGCTCGACCATGTTCGATAAGTTCAATAAAGTTTGATTGATTTGATAATCAAACTCATGAAGAGTATTGTTCAATTACGCTCGCAAACTCAATCCCACTCAATAGTTTGAGCTCGATTACCTAAAATTGATCAACCAAGTGTTCATGTTTTACATGATCTATAAAGGGGTTAACTGGTATTTCCCTACCAACTGAAATATTTCGCAATAAAAGAGCTTTGAAATCTCCTAATTGTGCACCACACTGAACGATGCCTATAAATTTTCCTTTTATCCTAGAACTATCAGAACTTGTAAAAGTGTACCCTCACCTGTAATCCCTGATTTATTAGCGAACTTAAAGCCATTATCTCTAGCATGTAAGACTAAGAGTATCCTTATTAATGACTAAAGATTAAAGTTTGTTTGACTACTCCGGGTTTCACTCGGATTCATACATCGGGTTAGTTCAGTTAACTGACATAACTACTAAAAGAAGACTAGAAAATATCCCCAAAAAATTATTCAGTAGAACTTCATTGATTTATTACATAAGTAAGTGCGACTGGTGTATACACAATAACTGCAACAATAATCCTAATTCTCTTACAGCATGGGATTGAATTATGAAAAATCGCATCTACAAACATATCATACAGCTGCTAAAGCTCACTGATCATGGAAATGGTGCAACAAAGTCTTTGCTCTCAAGTTTACAAAACTGTCCTATTTCACGATACAAGTAATTTCGACATTCCTCGCTTAAGCCTTCTGGGTTGATCTTTTGTGGTAGAACTGAAACTGGGGGGATGGCAATGCCATTCCTTAGCAAAAAAAAAAAGCTTGCTCTCGAGATGACAAAAACTCTTGGCAGGAGACAATGCCTAGTTCATTCTCTGAAAATTGAAAGTGATGAAATGTTTTAATGTTCAGGATTTTTTTGAAATAGCTCTGCAACAGAGCGCCCATAAAGCCATCAGCCTTAAATAGCAATAGAATCGTCTGTTGACGCTTTAGTTTCCTGAACTAATGCTCTGAGGGATATGCATAAGTTGCTAACAAATTCACTGACGCCTCTATTGGATACAACTAATGCTCTAACTGATACAGATGAGTTGCTAACGAATTGCCTAATGCCTCTAACTATTTTCATTGAATTGTCTAACAGATAACTAATGGACAGCTAACAAACTAACTGTTTAAGGAAATATCAGTAGTGTAGGTTTTCCCAAATAAGGTCACAAATCATAGGAGGGTACCCAAAAACAATAACATTACATTTTCGATTATCCCAGGAATTAAGTTAAGTGGGAAAATACAACATGCGATTTATTCAAAAAAATCGGCCAGTTAATAACTGATTATTATCCTGTCAATGTATGAATTTCATTCACAAAAACTACTGTCAGGTCGAATAAGGGGGTCCAGACCCCCAGAACCTCCCCCTAGATCTGCCACCTAAACTATAGACAGATTCAGAATCAAGTTTACAACAAACATCAAACGTCAAGTAGGAGATCGAAAACAGGCAAAATGAGGCTCATCTCTGGTGTGATATAATTTATTACTCACAGCTGGCACAAACCAAAAAAAAAAAAACATCCTTAACAGTGAACCTAACCCTGAAAATAATCCATAAAACAAAGAAAACGAATAAATTATATTACACCAGGTATGACCCCAAAATCAGCAAACTGCAAAGCACAATAACAATTGTTCTCATTAATGAACCTAATGAGGACTTGCCTTTGTGTGGATATGAAGATCAGTTAAACGATAATTAAAGGAATAACTTGTCATAGCCACTTCAACGTTTGCCATTCCCGCAAAGTGTACGAATGAGCCTTTTAACTTAACTGGATCTGTTGGATGAAATTTACAAAACAGAATCATACCAAATTCGCTGCACAGAGAACGATTTACGTCATAAATATCGGACATAACTGAAGCACACGCACAGGAGTTGGATTTTAGAAACTTACCTTCGCTTTTTAAGAAGAAACAAGCAGTGATCTGCAGCCTGCAAGCCAGAACAGTTCACCACAGCTGTAGACGCCATTTTTGTCGTGCATACTTGTTGCGAGGTCTGGGACCGAGAAAGGAGGGCGGGGTTTTTAGAGGTACTTACCACAACCCCGGCTCTGTCTCTTTAATTATTGAGACGTTAGCTAGCCTGAAAAAAGCGACGGTGCAAGGAGAAATGAGCAGGAAAAAATAACGAGGTCAGGGTAGAAATTGTATATCCCTGGAGAACAGTGTAGACCCACATAGACATCTGAGAGTTTCAGTTTATTTCTTTGCCAGAAAAAAAAATACATATGACATACAGACATTTAATATATTACAAAAATGTTATTCAAAGATTAAAGAGAAGTAAACTATAAGTAAAAGAATTAAACGTATTTTTTTGGCGAGGAAGCTCAAATGGAAACCTTGTTGCTTATTGAATGAGCTCCCTCTAACCTTAGCCTGCAAACAGCAGACGCATTTCCGGTCGTCGCTTCTCTCCCTCCTTTTTTCGAAGGGAGAGAAGCGACGACCGGAAACACATCTGCTGTTCGCAAACTAACCTAACCTAAGATTTTAAATATAAAGAATAAATAAGCGGCAAAATCATACTGAAATATACTTAGGATAAAAAGCAAGCAAGAGCCAAGTCCTCCTCCAGACATAACAGTCAGACACCAGGGAACCAACTGCTGTCACTTTCGATTTATCTTACAAGCAAAAAAAAAAGAATTAGAAAATCTATAATAAACGACTGGCAACAACCGCAGAATTGAAAACAAGTAAGAAGTAAAAATTCAAATATCTAGGTTTTTTTCGGACTTTAAATTTTTTAACATTATATAACGCTAAGAGAGGAAACAAAATTAGGTTAAACTTGACTTAATTCAAAAGCTGGACATAACATAATAAAGTGAGAAAATGTTATTGTCCCCAATGAATGTTACTAAAGAAAAATATAAAACAATTGACTTTACAAAAAAACTCAAATAACAACAGCAACGCGTTAATGAACCAGAGCCAAAACTCTCCCTTGAGAGAAAAGGTAAACATGAGTAAAAATTAAAATTCAAGATGTTGCGAGATGTGTCTTACCGGCTTAACTCTTGGTTCAGTTTATTTCTTTATTTTAAAAATGTAATAGGATTGTACCCGAGAAAAAACATGCTGTAGTCAACTAGATATATATAAACAAGAAAATAAAAAGACAAAAAACGTAAAAACATTGAGAAAAAAATTTTAAACGGCCAATTCTTTCCGGCTCGGGCTCTAAATGATAAGTCATTTTGCGGTCGTTTGCGAGAGTGTGTATATTTGATTTCTTTATTTTAAAATTAGAACAGGAGTGTGCCCAAGAAAAAAACATGCTGTAGCAAACCAGATATACATTAACAAGGAAATAAAAATTGAAAGCACTGAAAAACATTAAAAATTTTTTTTTAAAAACAGTTAAGTCTTTTCAACTGCAGCTTTCCACAATGAGTCAAATTGCCGTCGTTTGCGAGAGTGTTTATATTTGATTTCTCTATTTTAAAAATCTAACAGCACTGTACCCGAGAAAAAAATGTGTTGTCGCCAACGAAATATACAGAAGCAAGAAAATAAAGAACAGAAAACATCGAAAAACTTGAAGAAATAATTTTAAACAGCCAAGTCTTTCCAACCCCGACTTTTAATAATCAGTCATCTTGCCACCGTTTGCGAGAGTGTCTATGTTTGATTTCTTTTTTAAAAAAACTCTTTCCGCTGTTAAAGTTCTTTAAAGCCTTTAGGGGAAGCCTGTTTTTGTGTCCTGTAAATTCTGTTATTCTGCTTAAATGCGTATATTCGTTCTTCGAAAGGTTTACTCTAACTTATGAGTTCTACTCTTAGTGCTATTAAGAAGTCTTTCAACAGTTTAGTCGATTTCATCGTCTATTTAATATAAAGTCGATTTCAAACTTTAGAAAATATATAAGACTTCCACTCTTTCGGGGTAAAACCCGTGAACAAAATCAAAATCAAGAACAAACCGAAACAAAACTCGCTACAGCAGCCTCTTCGGCGTTTAAGCCGCGGTGGCCCAGATGGGAGGGCAACAGATTAGCAAACCAATTGGCAAACCAATGGTTGGGGGTTCAAATCTCGGGGTCACCAAAAAACAGGGTTAAGGTTAAGAGGGCTTGGGTCGAGGGTGTGGTTGACAGGGTGCGGTCAACAGGGTGTGGTCGGCAGGGTGGGGTAAATGTGAGGGTGTGGTGGATGAGAGGGTGTGGTCAGTAGATAGGTAGATAGGTAGATAGGTAGACAGAAAGAGAGAGAGAGTGTGAATGATGATGAGTGAAACAGGGAAACCTTCCACAGGCGGGTGGGTGGGGGGACTGTGGCCTAAGAGTAAGGGCGAGTATCGCCGCTTGCCGCCGGGTTAAGGGTTTAGGGGGGGTAAGGTAGGGGGGCCCCTCCTAAACCTTTAACCCGGCGGCAAGGCTCGAGGGCGAGTCCTACGTGGAAGGGTTTTGCTAGGTAGTTAGGTAGATAGTTTTTTTGCATTAATTTCCTTCTAATTAATTTACAATACAAATTTTACCCGAGAATTTATGCAAATTATATGCAAATTTATGCAGATTATATTAATTATGCAAATTAGTATGTGTAATCAAATTAGGGAATAATTTCACGCAATCTTGTGTCGATCGAGAACTCAACTCTCTCAAATGTTTAGACAGTTAATTTTGGCTCATAAAGTTCAGAATTTTTCAGACTTTTGCGGCAAAACACCTGTTAGAAACCTTGATGTGCTCTTTCCTGTGTTCAGGTTTTCTAAAGCGTCTTTGTGTGCCCTGACATCTTCAACTTCGTCGCCATCTTGACACTGAGATATACGAAAGGTTGCCATGGCAATTTTGCAATTTCACTTGTGAAATTACAAGTTAACACTGAAATTTCGCGCCAAAATTAAGGAGTAATTCGTCACCTATGATATTACTGAAATAACTACTTAATCGGACTGTAGGTAAAATACCCCAAACACGCACCCAAGTCACTCTAGTCACCGAAGTCACCCTAGTCACCCAAGTCACCCTAGTCACCCTAGTTACCCTGGTCACCCTAATCACCCAAGTCACCGTAGTCACCCAAGTCACCCAAGTCACCCTGGTCATCCAAGTCACCCAAGTACCCTGGTCACCCTAATCACCCAAGTCACCCATGTCACCCAAGTCACCCAAGTCACCCTGGTCACCGTAATCATCCAAGTCATCCAAGTCACCCTATTCATCCAAGTCACCCTAGTCACATAAGTCACTCTAGTCATCCAAGTCAACCTAGTCACATAAGTCATCCTAGTCACCCAATTCATCCTAGTCATCCTCATTGTTCACTTTCTTCAGGCTCACCAGCGTCTCAATTTAAACAGACAGAGCAGGGGTTGTGGTAAGTACCCCTAAGAACCCCGCCCACCGGTGTTCCTCGGTCCCAGACCTCGCATCAAGTACGCATCACAAAATGGCGTCTCCGTCTGTCTGCCTTGACTGTTCTGCCCACAAACTGCTTGTTTAATTTCATCTCAAAAATGAAGGTAAGTTTCTAATATCCAACTTCTGTGCGTGTGTTTCAGTTATATCCGATATTTATGCCGTGAGTCGTTCTGTGTGGTGCGAATTTGGTATGATTCCGCTAATTCCGTTTGGTGAATAACATCGAATAATTTCAAGCTGTCTAAGTTTAAAGTTTAAAGTTTGAGAAAATGTATGTGCCTTTTACCATAATACTAAAGTTGAAAATAAATTTTCATGAGGTGAATCAATGTGGCATGAAATAACTGTTGGAGTTTACATGGCAGATCGAACTCAAGTTCCTCTGAAAAATTCGGTGAAACTGCCGCTGCCCCAAACATACACTTTTTTTAAAAAATAAGTCACGTTTTTTTCTATCAGTAAATCTTGGATAATGGAACTTTTTGCTGATTTGGTCAAACCTTAAACCAGCTTCAGTAGTTTCAACTAGTTTGAATGACATCATAAACAAAAAAAATCTTAATGAAAACATAATATTTATTATGATCTGTTTTCATAAAAGCCCCCTGGTTTATGCTAAGTTATGTAAACGCTACATTTCGGTCAATTTTTCACAAGTTTCTCCATAGGTTTATGCAGAATTTGATTATGTGCAAAAGTACATAATTTAGATTTCATTATTTGTTCATTGGTTGTAAGAATAATAATATTGATAGTTTGGCTGATAGTTTGAAGCTGAATAGAAGCTACAATTTCTTGAACGAAAAACACGCTTTTTTTCCTCAATTTACAATGTTTTCCCCTGAATGCTAAATCGTATTTTAGGGCTTTGAAATGTCAAAATTTTCTGAGGGGCCATGCCCCCAGACCCCCTAGAAACAAAGGACTAGCGACCCCTTGTTGATACGGTCAGTTACTCTATTCAAACCAGCTGACTACTTTTTATTAAAACCTCTGCTTATTATTGAGCATTTTTTTTAAAAAAAGGTCATAATCAGTGGTCTGAGCATATATGCGTCTTTGTGGCTCTGTGTGTTCGGATGTTGGTTACAGGGGCCAATAAGGTTAAAGGTACTATGAGTTGATGCAAGGAACCAATGAGATGTTGGCATCTAAACAAGACATCGCTAAAGGTCAAACAAAGGCACTTTGAGACCACCATGTTGATTCTTCACAATTTGTTCCCCTTTTATTAGGGCTAAAGGTGTTCATAATAATTATTAGAAGCGTAACATTTACATATATCTTAATGATTCAAACACTGAGTACAGTGATGCAGCTGTTTAAGGGTTCATATTTTAGTGTGGCTGCTGCTTCAAGACATTTCTGATAAAATTCGGCTATCATGAATGGTACGACGCACGTATTTCATAATTTATGAGTTCTGTTTCACCTGCTTCAAGATCATATATTTTTCAATGTTTTCAAATGAAACATTAACAATTGATTTTGTAAGTCCACAACGGTCAAGTGAAGACGTGATGAATCTACTACAAAACAGTCAATTTTTCAAAATTGGAAAAAGCTAGTTGACAAAATAATTAGATATTGTTTTATT